CATGGGCGTGGGCCCTTAACTTAGCGCGAAATTAGGTGGCAAGGGTGAGTGGGCGTGGGAGATGAGAGAATGACGACTAGATCTGATCTACGGCTATGTCGCGCGGAACTCTAGGGTTCCCGTTTCTCATGGGGAAGAGATTGTGATGGAAGAAGGGGAGAAAGTGGTTAGGTTGGAGTGGCCGTAGATGAACAGGGTGCTGTGCGGTTGAGCGGGGCAAAAGAATTGGATGCGTTTTTTGGTCGCTAGGTTGGGATTTGCGACTTGGCGAATGTCTAGTTGAATTCGCCAGGTCGCAATGTCGCGAAAAAAATTTGGTCGATTTTTTCGTCGGGCTGCCCCTAAAATTTTACCCGAGCGTTTAGCGTTTTACCACGCGTTTAGCGTTTAGCGTTTAAACGCAGCGTTTAAACGCTAAACGCTGCCCCGCCAGAGCGTTTGCGGTCATGGCGATTCGCCAGGACTCGGGAACATCACCAGGATGGTCGGGTGCAGGGCCCTCGGGAGCGACGGGCGCAACAAGCTGAAGGCCGCGCTCCTCCATTAAAACAACAGCTTTGAGATTGAAGCCGCTGATTGTCACGAAGGAGAGGAGGACGGCGATGGAGTGGGCATAGGAATGCCAGTTTGCAGCAGTGTTGTCCGGCAGCAGCTCAAGGGCATCCATGGTGGCAAGATCCACGGAGGAATCCAAGGATGCCATGCTGGAGGGAAGGAAGCGGGGGAAGGGGGGGGGGGAGGAAGGAGGGAGGAGGAGGAGGGGGGAAGAGGAGGAGGGAGGAGAAGGAGGGGAGGGAAGAGGAGGAGGAGGGAGGAGGAGAAAGGAACAGGTGCGCGGAGCGCAGCTCTTAAGTCGCCGTAGGGACAGGAGCGCAGGCGGTTAGCGCAAGGGCGGACGCGGCGTGGGGCAACGCGACTGGAGGAGACTGCGGAGGAACGCGACGGGAGCAGCGCGCGACGGGGGCAGCGCGACGGGAGCAATGCGACGGGAGCAGCGCGCGACGGGAATAGCGCGACGGGAGCAGCGCGCAACGGGAGGAGCGCGCGACTGGAGGAGCGCGACGGGAGGAGCGCGCAACGGGAACAGCGCGACGCGAACAGCGCCACGGGAGCAGCGCGGCAGGAACAGCGTGCGACGGGAGCAGCGCGCGACGGGAGCAGCGTGCGACGGAAGGAGCGCGCGACGGGATTAGCGCGACGGGAGCAGCGCGGCGGGAGCAGCACGATAGGGGCAGCATGCGACGGGAGCAGCGCGCGACGGGAGGAGCGCGCGACTGGAGGAGCGCGCGACGAGAACAGCGCGACGGGAGCAGCGCGCGAAGGGAGCAGCGCGACGGGAGGGACTCGCCGGGAGGAGCGGGCGAGGAGACACGCGGTGCGAGGAGCACGAGGCGGAAGCGGGAGAGGAGGGGATGCTGGAAGCTTAGTTGGGCCCTTACGCCCAGCCAGCCGCGTAAACGTAACGTTACGCGTAACGTTACGTTTACGTTTACGTACGCGTAATTACGCGTACATATTTCCGGGCAGGGGAATTTTTTCCGCCGGGTAAAAATCCCGAAATCTTCGAATCGCGGGCTAATGTCTACTGCTCGAGTATTAAAAAAAACCAGCACGTCGAAATCAGGAGATCGCCCTACGTTATGCCCGCGATTTGCATAAGCTATGTGGAGGAGCGGCTCTGGATTCACAGACTTTAAGGAGTTAGACGGGTAAGTCGTTCTAGACTTGCGGAAGGGAGGTGGCAAGACAAATTAGGTATGAGGAGATGGGAGATGGGGAGGAAGGGGGTTGGTTGTGCGCGTTACTTTTGCGGGGAAGTGGGTGGGTGTTTCGTGCGTTGACTGGCAAATGTTTGACGACGGCTAGGTCAACGTTGCCACCTCGCCACCCAGTTTCGTTAGTCCCTCGCTGTGAAATTACGAAATTGGGACGAAGGTCGCAAATTGGGGATTGGCCAATCGTTGACCACCGAATTTCTGCACATTCGTCGCAACAGCAATCCACGCACTTTCTTGTGGATCTTCGACCAGGTGGGTTGCGACGGAACTTCTCAAATTGGGGCTCGTCGTAATCAGCGCACCTCTTGAATTTTAGATCGCTACTTAAAACGGCAGAAACTTGGCTAATCTTCAGCGCAATTTTCTGCCGTCTAGCTCTCCAAGAACACACTCTTTTTAGCTTCCTTCTCTACCATTTTGCTAATGGAGCAGAACGCCGAGCACGCTATTTGGCGTTATTCTGAGGTTCCCGAAGGCGGGAAGTCAGATTCTAAGATTCCTAAGACTTGCGTTTTTTGCCGCGGGAAGTGGCCGCTCAATGTGAGCCGTGCGCAATCCTATCTTCTTGGATCAGGTGGCGGAATTGCGGCATGCAGGAAAATAACCCCCGAGGCGAAAACTCTTGTTCGTAATCACGCCGCGACCAAAATGCAGGAGAACGAGTTGCGTAGGGGAGCTACGCAACGCACCATGCGCGCGTTTGGCGGGGGGGATGACGATGGCAATGGTGGTGGGGAAGGAGACTCCGGTGCAGGCTCCAACACAGTGGCGCGCAAGCGTCAAATGACGCAGCGAACCCTCACCGACAATCGCCCTACGCCGACCGATGTGGCGAAGGCCCAGCAGGCGGTCGCCACGTTCTTCCACGTCTGTCGCATTCCTCCCAATGTTGCGGAGCACGAGGCCTTCAAGAACATGGTCAAGATGGTTACGGCTGTAGGTCCGAATTTCACGCCACCCGGCCGCAAGTTGATAATGGGGCGCCTTTTGGAAGAGTGCAAGACGAACACTGACAACGCGTTGAAATCGGTCAAGGAATCTTGGAGCAAAGTGGGCGTGTGCATCGCGAGTGATGGGTGGACGGACGATGTCGACCGTCCACAACTCAACTTCTTGGCGGTCAACACGTATGCATCGGTCTTCCTCTTCGGCGTGGATTGCGGCACGGAAATCAAGTTCGGAGCGTTCATTGCCATACACCTTAAGGCGGCGATCGAGATGGTCGGCAGCGAAAACGTCGTGGGGCTTCTCATGGACGGCGCGAGCAACAACATCAGTGCGGCAACGATCATCAAGGCCGAATACCCGAAAGTGGAGTACTCACTCAACAATCTCATGAAAGATATTGGTAGCCAAGATTGGGCAGTGCCTACTATCGAGGACGCGCAGCGGTTGATCTCCACATTGAAGAATGCTCAGTGGATGACGGGTCGCTTGCGTGAGCAAAAGTCCCTCGTCTTATTGAAGCCTGCGGGAACACGTTTCGGTACGAACTTCATTACGCTAGAACGCCTTGTCGAAGTGCGCGAGGTGTTGAACAAGATAATGGGGACGAAGGAGTGGAGCGATTTTGCCGCAAAGAAGGAGAAGATGACGTGGGCGAAAGAGAAAGTTAAGGATAACGAGTTCTGGAAGGGAGTCGAGCGGGTGATGAAGGTGTTGGAGCCGGTGTACAAACTACTGAGGGAAGTTGACAGGAACCAGGAGGTCATGGGGCTGATTTATGAGAAGATGCTGGATCTCGAGGAGTCAATCATTGCGGCATGTGGCGATCTCCGGGTGGGGGAGAAGAAAGCCATTGCCAAGACGGTGCGCAACAGGTGGAATGACAACATCAACTGTGCGCTTCACGTCGTTGGGCGGATTTTGTATCCGCCCAACCACTTTGCTGAAATTTTTGGCCCGGATAACGAGTGCAGCAACATCTTTACTGAATTCGTCAGAGAATACTATGACGGCGAGGAGATCATCGATGCGGACGGTGATTCCAAGCCCCTGGCCACTATTGTTGAGGAGGAGCTTGAGATTTACCTCCAGGGCACAGGGAAAATCGGCGATCAAAAGGCACGTAAAGAGAGTGATCTCATTAAAAAATGGAAGTTGGACTCAGTGCATTGGTGGCGGTTCAATGGTAGTGACTGCCCTCACCTTGCCAAGCTTGCTTGCAGAGTCCTCAAACAATGTGTCTCTGCATCCACATGCGAGACCAACTGGTCCGCTTGGGAATCGGTCCATGCCGTGCGCCGCAATCGTCTTGGGCCGAAACGACTCGCGGACCTAGTCTATGTCACGAGCAACTACAACACGGTGCGAAAGTTGCATGCGGATTTTGCGAAGAACAGGATGGTCAGTGGCACCATAGTAACCCAGGGGGAGGAGGAGCTCGATGAATACGAGCCCTTGGATGACGACGACTTGGAGGATTGTTGCTATGTTGACGCGCAGGATGATGTGCCAAGTGACTAGATGTGAAGGGTAATCTATGTATGTCACCATAGTTTTGGTCAATATGTTTTTGAGGGACTTTTTGCATGTCGGAACATCTTTTTTAAGTTGCTGCAGTGTTCCACAAGCCTACTTGGGGACCTCCTATACCTAGAGCAGCCCAAAAAAGTTTAGCCTGCCCGGAAACGTAAACTCATTTCGTGCGCCCAAACGTACACGTAAACGTAAACGTACGAAAACGTAATTGACCAACTAAGGCTGGAAGGGACAGCCGGGTAGCCTGAGGGCGGGCTAGGGCTGAAGAGTGAGGAGGAGAGGAAGGACTAGGCCGTGCTAGTTAGGATCACCCGGGTGGCGTGAGCCATTGGCTCTGATACCATGAGAGAAGTAACATTAGAGAGAAAAGTGTTAACTAGAAAGGGAGCCAAGAGGCTCTATAGTACAACCAAGGAGCAAGGAAAGTTTGGAACGGAAGGCACTCCTATTGGCTACAATAGTGGCCAATGGGAGAGGTAGCTTGGAGGGGAAGCAACCCCAGAGTGTGGTGGTTGCTGATTGGTGGAGCCTTGGGACCATTCGGTTGGAAAGTGCCAACCAAAGGACCAAGGCCAAATCCAATCTTGGCCAACCAAATTGTGGTTGGTGATCCCAACCAACAACCCCCCAATAACTTAAATGTCAACACCTCCTATTCTAGTCATACATGTTATATATAATAATATATTACAACACTAAGTGCGTGAAGTATGAGTACTGTGTGAAGTGCGACATACATACAGTATGCTCAGGCTGGTGAGGCCTGCCCACTTGCCAGGGACGGTCCCCGAGAGAGCATTGTCGTCCAACACCCTGCCACCCCACACAGCAATGCACACATGGTTGTTGCTCCCAATGCTGCTCCCATGCATCCTAGAGAAATCGCAGCTGGAGAGATGGAGCAATTGCCGTTGAAATTTGTAATAAGGAACCACACAGTACCAGGCAGGCACCGTGATCTTCTTTTTAGGCGGTAAAAAAAAGGCTGCTAGGCAGGCACAATGGTAGGACGTGGAACACAAGAGACTCTGTGCAGGGAGAGGAATACGGCACCACGTGGAGTGACTTAGAGATGGAGAGGAGGAGGGAAAGAAAGAAGTAAGAGCTGCTGCCCAGTGGTGGCGGCGCTGTCTCCCCTACATGTTCTCATGGCAGCAGTATCATAAATGACACTTGCTTGTGACTCCATGCCCCCGGCTTAATCAAACCACCTCGAGTTACCTTGGAAACAAACCGCAAATAAGAGCATCAAAGCGAAGAAAGGGGTAACCATACCATGGCACCAGTGCGTTCTGATGGCGAATGGAACGTCCCAAAAGTGACACCGCTCGACATGGTGCGTTGACATGGTGCGCTGACATGGTGCGCTGACATGGTGTGGTGACATGGTCTGGTGACATGGTATGTGTGGTGCTGCCTTGCAGCTGCTCACAGCTGGTTGAGGTTGCTGAAGCGAGAGAAGCCCGAGGGGATGGAGCCCAAGAGACGGCCGCGCCTTATCTGACTGCAGGCGGGATAGGGAAGAGAAACGGAGGGGGAGGGGGGCTGAGAACATGGTGAGTGAAGCGCGGGAGTGTGGTAGGTGTGTGAGACGAGGGGTCAAGTGGAAGCGGGAGTTGTTCAAATGAAGGAGGAAAGGGATGAGAAAGTGATTGGCCCATGAGTGAGGGTCAAGGGAAAAAGCAAATGATAAGCACGTGATGCACAAGTGAGAGGAAAGTGAGACACACACAAGCAAGTGGGGGGCAATTGGAAAGATATTTAGGACCACAGGCAAGTGTCACCCAAAGGGAGACGCTGTGGCACACAGATGGGAGGGATGCATACTTGCGAAATGCGATTGCATGCCATGGCATGGCAGAGCGTGGCAGGGCACATATTGTAATATTCTCTGTGCAACTGACATTCTCTGCAGCTGCGTGAGGGGCTGAATGGGGTCCAGCGACCCTGTGATGTTGGAGGAAGTGATTTCCCTGCGCACACATGCACACCAACAGCAAGGGGTGATAGCAAGGCTGCAAGGGGTGATGGCAAGGGGTGATAGCAAGGGGTGATGGCAAGGGGTGATAGCAAAGGGTGATAGCAAGGGGTGATGGCAAGGCAGAGGAGCTGAGGACCAAGACAACAGCTGCCTGCATTAAATGCTATGCGGAACCACACGGGTCACCATGGCATCATGTGCAGCGAAGAGGACGCCAGGAGATGGCGAAGATGGGGCAAAGAGGGGCAAAGAGGGGCAAAGAGGGGGCTGAGCGAGACGAGGCGTCGATGTGAGGAGGGCTGGGCTGAAGCCTGAGCTTCAGTGGGCTAACAGCACGGCAGGACATGGGAGGGAAGGCAAGCACACTTGTGCTTGGAGAAAGTGCGCGTGACAAAGGCTAACAATGCCTCTGCAGCGTGATAGGGATTACGGCACGAGGCGGCACGATGCAGGGCGAGAGGAGGGAGGGCAAATACAGTGTGAGCAGTTTGGCGAGGAACTTCATTTCGGATGGCAGAGAGCCGCCGAGAGGGCACCCGTTGATTTGCCTGTGGTGGGCGGGCAGGGAAGGGGAGGTAGTCGGGGTCAGAATGATGAGAGGAAGGTTGGGGGAGGGGAGGTGAATGGACCGGAGGAAAAAGAGGCAGGATGCTACAGAAAAAGCATTTGTGGGGGGGAAAAGGGGTGGGGGAGGGGGTAAGGGGTAGGGGTGGGGGAGGGGGAAGAAAAGAGGGGGGGTGGGGGGGAGGGGGAAGGGGCTTATCTTCTTGTGATTTGTGTTTCGGCCTTCCATCTTTCACACACCACTCGCCTTTTTCTCCAACAATACGAATTGCCTCATTGCATCACTCTCATTGTGCTCCCATGAAACCCCCTCTGTCTGCCTGCCGCCATGCGCCCCATTCTACCCAGACCCCCGAGTCCCCCCATCCCCCCCATTCCTCCCATCCCCTCAATCACCTCATTCCCCCTCATTCCCCCGATAACCCCATTTCTCCCCCATTCCCCACCATCCCCCCATCCTCCTGTCTCAACTCCCCCCCATCCCCCGTGCTCACAGGCTCTCTAGGCTCGTCATCCTCCCCACCGCTGCAGGAAGCGATCCAGAGAGGCCGTCCTCAATGTACCTGGGGTTTGGGGGGGGGGGGATGAATTGCGTTGACGTGCACTGGATAGGCTGAGAGGGGAGAAGGAGGGTGGACTAGTGAAATGCAGAGTGGGAGAACAAGTGCGTGTGGGGGGGGGGGGTTTGGGTGGGGGGTGGAAAGGGTGTGGAGAGAGGAGGCGAGAAATTTGTTGCCATAGACATGAGTTAAGTGGAAGCAGGGTGCGGGAGGAGGAGAGCGGGAGGAGGAGACGGATGTGAGTGAAGTGGGGAAAGAGGTTAAGGCAAAAGCGGGAATGAGAAGAGGAGGAAGAGAGCAGTTGGGAGATGGGTGGGGAAGCAGGAGAATGAGAAAGGAAGAACAAACAAACCAGGCATTTGAACGTGGAAGATGGGAGGGCAACGGTTTCTGGGGTTCAATCTGAGCGGGACAGAGACGGGGCAGCGAGCTGACAGGTGTTTGAGAAGGCAGCGAGCTCACAGTTGCTTGAGGTTGGAGAGCACTGAGAAGGAGGAGGGCAGGGAGCCAGAGGCAAGGCTGCGAAGCATGTCACTGCGATGTACGGGTGGGGGAGAGGAGAAGAAGGGCGAGGGGAAGAGGGGTGGGGGGGTTCGGGAGAGAGGGGAAGGGAAGTTGGAAGGAGGCAGGGAAGGGGTGTGGGGTGGAGGAGCGAGACGGGACAAGAAGGGAGAGGGGAAGAGGGATGGGGAGGGTAGGGAGAGGAGGCGGAGGCAGGTGAGAGATGGAAGGCCGGAATGAGAGAAGGGAGCCTTTGGGTAGAGTGACGGAATGAACGCGTGACCTATGGCGGTGAGCAGCGCAGATGGGGAAAGATTTATTTCTCCAGCAGCGCCCTCCTCCCTTTGCCGTTTATGGTGAGCGATATTTCAGTAGAAGAGGGGGAGGGAGTGGGGCAGTTGGGGGAGACAAGTTAGACCATAGGCATGTGGGGGGGTACGTTTGAGAAGATGGGACGGGCGTCAATGGGGCGATGGTACAAGAAGGCGATATGAAACAAGCAAGCAAGCGTGCCCGCATGCCCGCATGCACGCACTCACGTGCATAAGCACACATGCAATCACAGCAAGCAATCATTGTCACCCGGCCTGCAGTGCGCTGATTCTCACATCTTTGTGAGCGAGGTCAGTGTGCCAATGACAGTTGGCACTTGCGTGGCACTGCTATGCGCCCAGTTCCTGCAGGGGCGGGCATGGTGAAGGTAGACATGGTTAAATCGCATCGCATCGCGTTATATTGTATTTTGCGACAGTGATTTTCCTCTCTTTTTTGTAAAAATAGCAGCGATGCGATGCGATAATATCGCGCGATATTTGCGATATCGCGCATTAAATCACGATTTTTTTTGCGCGATAAGTTGCGATATGCGATGAAACGCAACGCAATAAGTTGCGTATCGCAACGCGAAATTGGCAGATTTCGGGGGGGGAGGGGGGGACGAAGCCCAAAAGGGCTGCAACCAAATCTCCTTTGAGAGAACCCCCACCCCAACAAATTCCAAACTCATTTCCCACCTCCCCACTCCCATTCCCAAGCTTCCATGCAAGCTCCTCTTGCAAACCCTTGGAAGGAAATCCCTTAGCCACAAAGCCATGCCTCCACTCCCCCATTCCTAAGTAAGCATAGATGGGATTAACAATTTAAAGTCCTAGTCTAGTCTCCCTAAACTACTTAGGCACATATCCACACCTAACTAGGGTGTCGTTTTTATTTCCTCACGTCGTTTTTGCTCGTACGCACCGCACCTTCCCAACGTGTGGGGTTTAGGCGCCATCGCGTAGCATCGTCCGTGCGGCACGCGAGTGTGACGGCTACAGCTAGTTGGTTTAGGGTTTATCGTAGATTGCCCTTTTTAGAGCTGTTTCCATCGCTAATCCGACCATCGGGGGAGTGCCTTGCCGTAGGGTTTTAGCCCAAAGGCTCCAAATCCGCGCCCATATTTCAGCACAACCTTCTTAGCTTAGCCCGTAGGGTATAGGGGGGGTTTTGCAAGTAGGATTTGGGGCGACGATGGGTCCGCGTGCTCGCGGTCCACGTGGTAGGGCGGGGCGGAGTGGCGGAGGGCCTAGTCGGGGCGCAGGGGTTGAGGGGAAGGGGCGCTATGGCGGCGCCACCGGGATGACAACCGTTGAGGCGCGAGCTCAGCGCAGGCAGCAGGACGAGGCCTTGTTTGCAAAGGTCACCTCCGGCTCTGCCGCACTGGAGCGGATGGCGGAGGGGAGTTGGTGGTTGGCGGCGGTTGCCACGGAACTCAGGGCAGTGCCGCTGGAGGTGCGGGTGCTGCCCCCAAGGTGGAGGTAGGGTTGAGCATACTACCCGCCCGGGTCGGGTACCCGGTACCTAGGCTTGAGCAAAGGGTCGGGTCGGGTCGGGTAACCCGACCCGAACCCGATTTATTTACGGGTCGGGTCGGTATTCCCGACGGGAAAACCCGACCCGACGGGTTAGGTTTTTTCTAGACAGGTCGGGTTGACCCGTACCCGACATGTCGGGTTTCGGGTCAACCCGACCCGAAGTCGGGTCGCGCGTCGACCCGACGGGATCTGCGCGACCAAAATCGCGCAGATATGAAATTTCGACCATTTGGTCGAAATTTCAACCCTTAACTTCCTTGCTAAGCTTCGCCCTAGCCAAAGTCAACATCCTACCTAGTTCCTTGCAAAAACAGACGGCTACTTCAGCTAGAACTAGTGTTTCCTCCCTTAGGGTAAGAGATTGCCCAAGGGGTTTAGGCTGATCTAGATCTTCTTATGGAATCGACTCAGCACACACCCTACTCAACTTCGAAAATTGCGAACACCTCCAATCCAAGCGAATTTTCGCCAGCACCCTCATCCCAAACAAACTTTCGCCAGCACCCTCATCCCACACAAATTTTCGCCACCATCCTCATCCCACACGAATTTCCGCCAGCACCCTCATCCCACACGAATTTTCGCCAACACCCCCAACCCACTCGAATTTCGCCAACGCCTCTAAACCACTCGAATTTTCGTCAACACCCCAAACCAACTAAAATCTTGTAAGCACCCCCCAACCAACGATTTTCGCCAACACCCCCAAACACGAGGAATACGTAGTGGATCTTGAAATTAGGAGGAAAGAAGCTTGTAGTCGCTGCATAAGTCATTATAACTTAGGCTGCTCTGGATGCCCTTTAAAAAAGGACGGGTCGCCGTACCCGTGGTCGGGTCGGGTCGACCCGACCCGACCGCGGGTCAGGTATGACCCGACCTGTTTTTGTCGGGTCGGGTTGGAAGAATCCTAGGGTCGACCCGACCTTGACCCGACCCGACCCGACCCGAACCCGACCACGGGTCAGCCAAGTCGGGTCGGGTCGGGTCGGGTCGGGTAGATGCTCAAGCCTACCGGTACCCGGATCCGCTTTTAGGGCGGGTCGGGTATCGGAAATCCTGAATATTACCCGGCGGGTCAGGTCCGGGTTACCCGGGCGGGTATTCAATACCCGGTACCCGAAATGCTACCCGACGCGTCGGGTAGCGGGTACCCGACCCGAAATCGGGTAGCGGTCTACCCGACGGAACCAGCGAGACATTAGTCGCGCTGGTAGAGAAATTTCATCAAGTTTCTAGGTTACGTGAGTTGCTAGGTCACTTAGAGCATTGTAGATTGGCAGGGGTTGGGTTTCGTAGATACAGATGCATTCAGAGTGGTTGAATTGGGGGGAATTGGTTGGAAGTCAAACTAGGCTTGAGCAAAACCGGGTAATTACCCGACCCGACCCGGTTTTGCAATACCCGACCTCGGGTCGGGTATTTTCGGGTCGGGTCCGGGTCGGGTAATATGCCCAGGACCCTTACCCGGACCCGGCCTTAAGGGGACGGGTAATACAATACCCGCCTGGCGGGTCCGGGTATACCCGACCCGGTTACCCTGAAAAGCGGGTAATACTACCCGCCACCTACTAGTGGACATCCTAAGGTTGGGCTAGGCTAGGTAGGGTTTCTGAAAACGCGACTCTCAAATGAGAGACTCGTCCCCCCTCACCTCCAAAACCGTTTTGCCACAAAACCCAAAACACAGCGCGACTTACGCCCATGTCTAGGTGCAATACCCGACCTCGGGTATTATTTACCCGCCCGGGTCGGGTACCCGTTACCCAACACGTCGGGTAGCATTTCGGGTAGCGGGTATTGAATACCCGCCCGGGTAACCTGGACCCGACCCGCCGGGTAATTTTCAGGATTCCCGATACCCGACCCCCCCTAAAAGCGGATCCGGGTCCCGGGTACCCGACCCGGGCGGGTAGTTTGCTCAAGCTTAAGTCAAACCAATCGAATTTCTTCAATCGAATTTGCAACCCAACCTGAATCCAGCCAACCGCACAGCACCACATTGGTTGGAGTTCCAACCAATTGACTCTGGGGGTCAAAGAATCAAACCCCCAGAAACCGCACACAACCCCATCCCAACTAGAAAACTCAACCAACTCCCCACTCAGGCCCCACTCACGACCCACTCACCACACCAGAACTGTTAAAGGTTTGGCGCACCTCATACTCCCTCCCGCAACTCACGTTTTTTTAAGCACTATCTAGGTTGTAGGCTTAGTAACCCAACACGGTAGAAAAACGCGGGTAATACAACCCGCTTTTCAAGGAAACCGGGTCGGGTATACCCGGACCCGCCAGGCAGGTATTAAATTACCCGCCCCCAAATCCCGGGTCCGGGTATTGGTCCTGGGCATGTTACCCGACCCGTACCCGACCTGAAAATACCCGACCCGAAGTCAGGTATAGCAAAACCGGGTCAGGTCGGGTAAATACCCGATTTTGCTCATGCCTAGGTGGAGGGGGTGGTCGTGAGGGTGGAGGAGGAAGACAGGCACGCCTGGAGGCTTCGAGCTGCGACGGATGGGGAAGGCGGGGGGGTCGGCGGGGCGATGGGCATGCGGGGGTGGGAGGGCGACGCCGGGGAGGCGGGAGAGGGGGGGGGGAGGATGAGGGGGAGGACGATGATGCGGGGGAGGAGGAGGAGGAGGAGGAGGAGGAGGAGGAGGAGGAGGAGGAGGAGGAGGAGGAGGAGGAGGAGGAGGAGGAGGAGGAGGAGGAGGAGGAGGAGGAGGAGGAGGAGGAGGAGGAGGAGGAGGAGGGGGATGAGGAGGATGAGGAGTACAACGGGGAGGGGGATGAGGAGGATGAGGAGTACAACGGGGAGGGGGATGAGGAGGAGGGTTATGAGGAGGAGGTGGATGGGGATGATGTTGAGGAGGAAGAGGGGGGGGCGTTGGAGAGGCCTGTGGTGGAGGGATGGAGGGGTCCAAAGGGAAGCACAAGACTGCAATGGCCTCCCATCTCTCCGGGGGTATGGTTGGGAAGAAGGTTAAGGGGAAGGCGGGGGGGTCGGCGGGGGGGTCGGCGGGGCGATGGGCATGCGGGGGTGGGAGGGCGACGCCGGGGAGGCGGGAGAGGGGGGGGGGGGAGGATGAGGGGGAGGACGATGATGCGGGGGAGGAGGAGGAGGAGGAGGAGGAGGAGGAGGAGGAGGAGGAGGAGGAGGAGGAGGAGGAGGAGGAGGAGGAGGAGGAGGAGGAGGAGGAGGAGGAGGAGGAGGAGGAGGAGGACGTGGAGGAGGAGGAGGAGGAGGAGGAGGAGGAGGAGGAGGAGGAGGAGGAGGAGGAGGGGATGAGGAGGATGAGGAGTACAACGGGGAGGGGGATGAGGAGGATGAGGAGTACAACGGGGAGGGGGATGAGGAGGAGGGTTATGAGGAGGAGGTGGATGGGGATGATGTTGAGGAGGAAGAGGGGGGGGGCGTTGGAGAGGCCTGTGGTGGAGGGATGGAGGGGTCCAAAGGGAAGCACAAGACTGCAATGGCCTCCCATCTCTCCGGGGGTATGGTTGGGAAGAAGGTTAAGGCATCAGGTAGAGGGGGGTGGGGGGGGGCAAACGAGACGGCGCGAGGGAGGGGGAGGGGGAGAGGGAGTGGGCGTGGTACGGGGAGGGGCAAGGGGAGAGGGAGAGGTGGAGGGATGGCAGGGGCGGGGTTGGGAGAGAGGGGGAGGTCCGGGATGTCACTGGGCCATCTACATGCGGATGGTCTGGGGGGGAAGGGTGGTGGTGGCGGAAAGAAGGGCGGTGCACGGGGAGGCACGTGTGCGAGGAAGGGGGCAGGGCGGTGTGGGGGAGTTGGGGAAACGGCACATGCACATGGGTCTGCACCAGCTGGGGGAGAGGAGGGGGAGAAGGATCCACCCCGTATTGTGGGGCAGTGCTTTGACACGCTGCCCGATACGAAGTGGAGGCGTTGCAGGAGGTGCAGAGCCCAAGTGAGCTTCACCAAGCGCACGACCCAGAACGGGAAGGTGCACATGCTGCTGCACCACCTCCCGACTTGGGACATCCTTGTCCGCATGCGGCGGTCGGGGGAGATGACGGTGGACGATAAGATACCCCGAGGCGGGTTTAGGGTGGAGGGTGAGGTGCCCGACGGGGAGGGTGGGTGGGCCGGATCAGCCACCTGGCCGATCTTGCCTGACGAGGGGGAGGTGACTGGGGGCCCGGTGGGCAGGAGGGGCATCAGGCGCTTCTTTCAGAAGCCCATGGACTTGGAGCGGTTCGAGCAGTTACTGGTCGAGTACATTGTGGACACCGACTCACCATTCAGCACCGTCGAGCGAGACACCGTACGTAATACTATCCCCCGCCTTCTACAATGCTTGCTCATTCTCGTGGCATTTAGACAATGCAATGCTTTCATTTCACCGCGAGTCTAGGGCGCCTGTCTCGCATGTTCCAAACCCCTGACGTGCCTCCATACTGCCTGCCCCCACTTGCTATCCTTCCAGTTCCGCCGCATGATGGCCGAGGCTAACCCGCGGCTGGGGGAGTCGGGGGCCATTCCATCGCGGCAGAAGTTGGCCCGTATGATCATGTAGCAGGCAGCCAAGGCAACAGAGCTCGCGAAGGCGGAGCTGCGGGCGGACGCGGGCGTGGGGTCCATCTCGGTCACGGCGGACATCTGGTCGGCGGAGAACGAGTTGGGGTTCATGGGGATTACCGCACACTACATCGACGCTGAATTCAAGCTGCGGCAGGCGACGCTTGACTTCCAACCCCTGCCGGCCGAGCACACAGGAGAGACGGTGGCGAAGCTTCTGGAGGAGGTGATTGAGGAGTGGGGGCTGGCGGACAGGTGCATGGCGCTGACCACTGACAACGCATCTGTCAATGGGGCAGCGTTCAACCTTCTGAAGAAGGGTTGGCGGGCAGATGGCGTGGTGCGATTGGTTCCCATCTTTGGAGGCAGCACACACGTCCGGTAAGAAAACCACACCTCACGCTCACCATCCGTGTGTCCATTTTATGGTTTCATTGCGAACACAAGGGTTTGTGTTTCCCAAGTAATGACCACCTCACCCTATGATGCTGCAGATGCATCGCACATGTCTGCAACATTGCAGTCCAGGCAGCGATAACTGGGGTGCCACAAGTCGACACGCCACTCAGGAAGCTGCGCGGCCTTGCGTCGCGCATCGGCTTCTCGAAGACCAAGACTGCGGCCTTCGAGAAGGAACAGCGCCACCAGAACCCCACCAAGCAGGCTGTTTAGCTGAAGCAGAACAACCTAGTGCGATGGGGCTCGACGCATGCAATGATCAAGAGGGCTATTGATCTCAAGAACCCCATCGTCGCATTTGTCAGTCGTGAGGTGAGCCTTCGCCTGGGTTGGCGTGGGTGGGTGTAGCCACGCCGCACATCGAGCGGTCTCTCTCTCATAACCTTTGTGATTACAGCAGCAATCCGTGCTCTCTCTGTGTTTACTGCATCAATCCGCCCTCCAATCCCCCCATGCCCTGTACGGTGCTCACCCACCCATATGCTGTTTCACACCCCCAACTATGTTGACAAAAACGCTTTTGTGAGTTTGCGTTTTGCATTTAAACGCAATCGTTTAAACGCAATACGCCAAAATGCGTCAAAACGCTCGAACGCACCTTGAATTTTTTTGGGCTGCCCGGAACAAAAAAACGCAAAACAAAATCCACGAAGTCGCGAATCGAAAATACATTTCGCTGCGCGTCGCGAAACGCCAACACGTTTCGCGCGTCGCAAATTCGTCATCGTGCAGTCGCGAAACTTTTCATAGCAACACGATAACTCATCAATCCCTCCCTTCCTTTTCCCAACGTGTTGAAAATCCCAACCCATTCCCCCCCCACTTGATCCAGATCTATCTGTAGAGGAGAAATTCGCTGAATTTACATGCACTGACGATCTTGTACTCTTACGTTCTTCCTTCCAGCACCTAAGCTACCCGACTTCCAGCCCCTAGCATGGCGTCCCCTGCCTGGGCCAAATTTCCCGCCTGCCCGAGCAGGCGTTTTTCGAGCGCATTTGAAGCCTGGAATCCTGCGTTTTGCGTCCTGAACGCACGCGTTCAACACAAAACGCAAAAACGCGGAAACGCGTTTATGCCAACATAGACCCCCAAACCTAAGTTGGGTCCTAACGTTTTTTAGGGTACCGTTATCGTAAATAAACGCAATTAGTTACGATTTCGTTTACGAACGCTGACTAACGCGTTAATCCATGCCGGGCAGCTGGAAAAAAAACTATAAAAAAAAAAAAAAAAAAAAAAAAAAAAAAAAACGTTTCATCATGACACTCTGTCTAGGGACACCAGCGAGTCGTCAGCCTGCCTCTCTGAAAGTAGGGCGTGTGAATGAGCAGTATAGAGATATGTTTGCTGGGGGGAATTGAGTTGTGAAGGAGAGGGGTGTGATAAGAGGGGTTATTGGGGGAGGTTGCTGCGCTTAATGTGGAGTTCCTCGTTCTAGAATTTCACAGATCCCCAACTAGGAAATCCCAGCATTGGCATTCTACGCTTGTTGGAATTTCGCTATGGAAATTCGCTATGGCTTCTTTTTTTCTGGGCAGCCCTGTGAATTTTCAGGCTGACCGTAAACGCTAGTCCAAAATAGAACAACCGTTCGTAAACGTAAAAAACCTACGTAAACGTTCGAAAACGTAACACCGTAAACGTCAGATCCAACTTAGCCCCAAACTAACCAACTTAATTGATATTGCACTACCCCCCCCCACGCGACCACGCAATAACCAGGGCTGCAACAAGAAGGAACCAGCGGAGATAGATGCGAAGTCTCTGACTAAAGCAGAGTGGTCCGTGGTGGAGGAGTTGATGGCCTTCTTGTCGCCGTTCAACAGCGTGACACTGGCAGCTGAGGGGTCGCTGTACCCCACGGTCAGCAGGGTGGTCCCACAATACAACGTAGTTCTGGACTGGTTGGAGAAGCAGCAGGAGAAGGCAGGGGCGGGGGCAGGGTCGATCATGGGGGTGTGCGTTGCTGAGGCATTGGAGAAGATGCTGAACTACTTCTACTCGAGCACCGATGACCTGAACGTGGCGACGTTCCTTGACCCTGCGCTGAAGCTGGCTTGGTTCGACAGGCCAGGTCAGGTCGCAGGGAGCACGCGTAAGGTGAAGGAGTTGCCGACAAGTGCGGTCTTGGCGCTGGTTCGCTCGCGCTGGGAGGTGTACAAGAAGGATGTTGATGCGGCCGCACGGTTGCAGGCGGCCATGGCGGAAGGGGTTGCGACTGGGGTGGGGAGGAGGAGGAGGAGGATCAGGGAGGGGAGGCGGATGAGGACCTGGGGGTGTTCGCACATCTTAGGGCAGTGCGTGCCAGGCAGACGCAGCAGGCCAAGGACGAGATCGAGCGGTACTTGGAGCTCCCCCTCCAGGAGTTGCACGAGTGCCCTTTGTAGTTTTGGCGTTACCATACCGAGCTTCCAGCGCTGCGGCGGATGGCGATGGACTACCTTGCCATCCCAACCACCTCCGCCCCTTGCGAGCGCCTGTTCTCACAGGGCCGCAACCTCATTCACTGGCAGCGGCACCGCCTTGGGAGGGAGCACATTCAAGCTTGCATGATGCTCAAGTCCTGGATTGCCTCTCACCCGAGGGAGCGCCTTGATGGCGGCGTGGACGACACTGCCATTGATCTCGGCCTGGAGATCGGGCCTGGTTTGTGACGGGTGTTTTCGATACTTGGCATCTGTGTTCTCTATGTCCATTTGTTTAGCCTCTCCTGCTGGCCTCTCCCACCACTCCCTTCGTCACCCCCCCACGTAAACCACGGAAAGAACGTCGGGCGACCATACCACGGTCGCTCGCACTAGTACGCTTCCCCCCCTCTCCACTCTCCACCTCCCCACCAACCCCACCCCCCCCTTGGACGATAGTGGGGCTCTCTTTTTGCTGGAGCTCGCCAATTTTTGTTCGCTTTCTATTTATGACAACCGCCGTTGTAATTCGGTGTTGTGCCACCTTTTGAAACCATACCGCATTTTCAACATAGCTCCCTATCCAAATTGCCAGTGTACCCTAATTCTCCTTGCAATGTGCCCCTGGCAATGTGATAAAATAACGCATCACGCGATACATCGCACAATGGAATGCGATATAAAAAAATTTCGCGCCAAATCCGCGACATGCGATTTTGATTTCTTAAAAAAAATCGCCGCGATGCGACATCGCATCACCGCGATAATTAAGGCGATATGTTAAAAAGCGATGCGATATCGCATCGCATCGCTTTTTAACCATGTCTAGGTGAAGGTAGCAGGTCAAGGGGCCGACGAACAACTCGGGCTTCGCAGCACAAGGGCGTAATTGTGAACGAGATGGTAACACTCTCACAGAGTGAATCTCTCATCACAGCATGGCAAGGGAAGTGAGGTGCACTGCACTGCACTGCATGGGAAGTCATGTCCTAGGCACAAGTGGCAAATGAACAGTGAAGGATGAGCCTTGCTAATAGAAAAACACAGCAACAACAACTTGCAGGAGCCTATCACTGTCGGTGCTGTGATTGCCTGCCATAGAGTCGTGCACATATCCAACCTATCCCTCCCTCCCTCCCCCCCTCCCCCCCCTCCCCCCTCCCCCCTCCCCCCTCCCCCCTCCCTCCCTCCCCCCTCCCTCCCTCCCTCCCTCCCCCCCCCCCTCCCTCCCTCCCTCCCTCCCTCCCTCCCTCCTCCTTCCCCCCCCACCAATCGTGCGCTCACAGGTACTGCAGGCGGGAGAGCGCCTGAATGGCATCGGGAATGACGTCGTAGCTCGTCAGGGTGCTGCCAGCACACGAGGGGGGTCAGAACAGGGTCCACAGCACACGAGGGGGGTCAGAACAGGGTCCACAGCACACGAGGGGGGTCAGAACAGGGTCCACAGCACACGCTGCAACGGAGGATGCGGGTGGAGGAACGGGTTGAGTGTTGTGGAGAACCATGGGGTCGCGGCTGTGTTTACCAACAGAGAATGAATGGTAGGATGGAGAGCCCACATTGGCGGGCACTGCAGTCGTGATTGCCCGGCATGCCAGTGCATCACTTGCACCCTGCAGAGCTTCCATCTCCTCGTGAGGAAACCCTAAACAGCTTCAGGTTACCAAGCAGGTGCTGTTTGCAGCGACGCGGCTGCCGAGAGCTTGTGATAGCACCCCCTTCACGGCCCCTGTTCCAGGTGCCTGTAACAGCCGACTCACCGGTTACCCCACTCAGTGCTCCGCAACGGGTGGAGCACAGTCCCGCGTCATGGCAAGAGGATGGCACCACCACCTATCCTGTACCTCACAGGCCACACAGGCTCCGCAGGCTCAGCAGGGCAGCACCACAGCACAGCACACTCACATGATGGTGGCGGCCCGGGCCCCCATGTCGTCGCAGTCGACATCGGAGACACCGAGGCAGCCCGACTCAGAAGCCGACCGCCCCTGTGACCTATCCTTCACCTCAGATGCCGTGCAGTGCAGGCACACAAAGACGCAGGCACGACAGCACCACACCATACCACGCCACAGCACACTCACATGGCGGTGACAGCGCCCGTGTCGTCGCACTCAATATAGGCGATATCAACGCAGTCCGCCTGCAGCTCCTCCTCCGTGTAACCCCCCCACGCGCTCCTCGCCTTGGAAATCTCCAGCAGCGCATTCCCTGGTCAGTGCACAGGAGAAAAAGAGGGGAGGGAAAGGGAGGAGGGGGGTGGGGGGGAGAGTGCGGGGTTTAGGGGGTGGGAGACGGAGGGGGTGACAGGAGGGGGGAGAGAAGAGGGATTGTTGAGACACAGGCGGTGGAGAGAGGTTAAGGGACTCTGTGTGACATGCTAGTTCGTGCGAGCTGCGCACTTCCTGTTTGGCCACGGAACGCTGCACAAGACGCGGCGGCTAGAGTGACACAAATAGGCCGAAGGGGTGGTATGAGCCCTGGGTTTGGAGAGGCGGGACGGCAACGGTGAGGACCACTGGCAGGGGTCCTGGTAGGAGCGGGTATCACTGCCGAGGGAGGGACGGCAAAAAAGTGGTTAGGACCGCTCTCACGTTCAGCTGGTCCGAGTGGCGCGCCACTGCCTAGGCGCCACATGACGTTACTGGCCAGAACCAGCAGCAATGATAGCAGGAAGAGGAGGGGACATGTGGAGGGCCGTTGGATGAGGGAGTAGTAAGGGCGCAAGGAAAGGCGCGGGGAAAGGGGGGCACGGGGTCGGAAAGGGAAACGCCGCGGCGGCGAGGGGAGAGGGTGAAAGCGGCAGCGACAACTGCGATGCTGCTCTTTCGCTATGCGTGAACTGCTGTCGCGGGCTCCGTGAATGGGCAACGGAAAGGCGGCTGTCGATGACATTCGGGTTACCACAGCACCCAAAGCCAACATTGCTGAGCAGCACTATTTCTGCTGCTGTTGGAACGGGGAGAGAGCGACACGGCGACGGCACGATCTAGGCAGAAACATCGGATTGGGTTACAACGGAGAGGAGGGGGCGGGAGAAAGCCTTTCTGACACAGGCGCGTGCGAAATCTGGGCTGTTGAGGAAAGACTTTCTTCACAGAGTGATGAGGGGGGCGCGAGGACGGGGAGGAAACTGGGAGCGAGACGGAAACTGGGGGGAAGAGGGGAAGGACCGCGGAGTGCGGCTGCTCGTGCGCCGCGGAACACTGAGAATGCGGCGGTGCGGTGGTCTCGATGCGCAGCCCGGGCGCTTTCCGCTCCCTTGGAGGAGCGGAAAGCACCGTTTCTTACTGGCGGAAGTTGTGTGTTCGGAGCTAGCTACAGTTCGAGAATTATGCCAGAGCACACCCTCACGATATCAGAGGATTCGGCCTGAGGTAGGCCGCAAGAAGTCGAGCTTTCCAGGAGCTGACCCCAGTACAGCACCATACTACTATACACTGTTATTAAATAGGATGTCAATGAATAATAATAATTGAGAATACAAGGACGCTATTGCAATGAAGGCATGAGGTTACATAGGTACTGACGTGCTAGGGCGATAACCCTGGAACGTGCGTAGGTTCGGCAATGTGGCAAAAGTGTCGGACGCGACTCGGCAGAGGATTGGGCCGACAAATGAGGCCGAACGTGATAGTCGATGAGTTCGGGAATGCGCGCTAGCATATGACGCAGTAAGGGATGGAAATTCCTTAAATTAACCCCCCTTCCTAAAGGAGGCCTCGGGCATCGGAAACATTCCGCCGCTGATAATACGTCGTGAGAATTGGATGTGATTCTATGTCAGCGAAGGGCACCCAGCTATCATCTTCCCATAAGAATGCTAGGATGAGTAAAAACAAGGGTGAACAAGTGAGATATGGTGTTGGGGTTGTACTCTCTAAGAACATACACCTATCTAGCCAATAACTTCTACATACTAGCATATGTATAAGTTGACACACCTCCTAGGCTAGATAAGGGGTAGTGCTGAGCAAGCAACATGCAGCTCAGGGTGGCACTACTAGTCCAACCTCCGAGGTAGGGGTCCAAAGACCAGTTAGCAAGAGTACAAACAAGGAAAGAACAAAACAAGGTGGCACTACTAGTCCAGCCACTGGAAGAGAAGCCACAAGGCCAGTCTGGAATGTATAAATATAGAGGAGTATGTCAAACATATATTGTATGTTTGTATAGACTATATAGGGTTGTGCCTTAGGGAGTACAATCCATTAGGTTATATTCCCTTGTATGCCTTATTCTAGTCTATTTCTTTCATTTTGATATGGTATCATGAGTAGGTTAAGTCCCCCCCGCCCACCAGCGCTTCCGCCGTAGGTCATAGCCGCCCCGTCGCCCGTGCCGGCCTTGTCCCCTAGCGGCCCCGCGGCCCCACCACCTAGTGGCCCCGCAGCCTCGTCACCTCGAGGCCCCGCGGCCCGTCACCTAGCAGGCCCGCGGCCCCGTCTCCCAGTGGCCACGCGGCCCCGTCCCCTAGCGGCCCCGCAGCCCTGTCCCCTATCGGCCCCGCGACTCCGTTCCTAGCGGCCCCTTGGCCCCGTCCCCTAGCGGCCCCGCGGCCCCGTCATCTCGCGGCCCCGCGGCCCCATCACGTAGCGGCCCCAAGGCCCTGTCCCCTAGCGGCCACGCAGCCCCGTCACCTAGCAGCCTTGCGGCCCCGTGGTCCTGTCACCTCGCGGCCCCGCGGCCCCGTCACCTCTTCGCCCAGCCGGCCCCGTCTCCCTGCAGGCCCCGCCTCTTTGCTAGCCCCGTCGCCTTGCCGCCCGCGGCCCCGTCTTCTAGACGCCTCGTCGCCATCCTCGGCTCCTCCGCACCGTGCTACACCGCCCGGCACCGCTCTGCACCGCACTGCACCGCCCTGTATCGTACTGCACCGCACTGCACCGCTCTGCACCGCACTGCACCGCCTTGCACCGCACTGCACTGCATCCTACCGTACTGCACTTCCCTCCGCCGCACAGTACTGCACTGCACCGCACATCACCGCTTTCCGCCGCGCTCTCCTGCCCAGTACTGTCTTTCTCCTGCTGCTGCAACCATGATGGCGGACTCGGTCCTGCGTTTTGATGCTGAGGGGCACGCGATTGAGTTTTACTCGTGGCTCGTCGACCTCCAGCGACACCTGACTGGTTAGTGGCAGGACGGCCACTCCCGGCCGTTCATATCGACGGTACACTCCCTTGCCCGGACCCCCCTGCTGCCCTACCCGCTGATCCCACCTCTGCTGATCGTGAGTTCGCTGCAGCTGCTGCCCTTGCTCGTGCTGTCTGGTTGTCGCGTGACGCTGTCGGACAGCTTACGATTAGTCATGCCCTTCCCCTGTCCGAGCGCCCCCGCTTTAGGTCCACCAGGACTGCACAGGAGTTCTTGGAGGCTGTTGTTGCGCGCTATTCCACCCTGCCCTCTGCCTCTGTAGGTTGCCTGATCCTGTCTATGCTCTTTCATGACCTTGCATCTTTCCCCACTATCGTTCACCTAGACGCCCACCTGCGCACGCTAGACACGACCTCGCGCGCTGCCTGCACTGAGGCTCAGCTTCGTGTGTTTCAGCCCCCCATCTGCTCTACCCTCTACCTGCTTGCCACCCGCTTCCCTGACCACCTTGCCACTGCCCGTGATCACTTCCTTAGTCTCCACCCCGCTGACCTCACCCTCACTGACTTTGTCGACACCGTGTCTGCCATAGAGACCTGTCAGCGCTCTATCGCCCAGTCCAGCGGTACCATGCCAGTCTCTATCTTTCAAGGCTGTGCCCCAACTCAGTGCTCTTTCTCCGACGGTTCTGCTGCGGTTGCTGAGACAGATCTGGCTGTAGAGACACCCCCTGCAGTGCACTTTCGTCCGGGTAAGGGTCGCCGCCTCAAGGCTGAGCACGGCGGAGGTAACGGAGGAGGAGGTGGTGCCGGTGGTGGAGGTGGCTCGCCCGCTGGTAACACTGACGAGGGGGCTAGGGCTGCTGCCCTGGAGCTGCAGCCTCAGCAGTAGCAGTAGGCTCCGCAGCTGGACCAGCAACAGCAGCAGCAGGCGCAGCAGCAGAAGCAACAGCGGAGGGTCGGCCGTCTCCCGCCCGGGTGGCCTGGAGCTAGAGGTGACGGTGGTCGCAGTGGTCAATCGCGCGGCGTGCTGTTGGATGGTAGTCAAAATGACGGGCGCTGCCAATACCAGCTCCAGACCGGTCCTCGCCGCGGCCTCATGTGCGGTAAGATCGGTCATACCCCCGCTTGTTGTTTTCGTTGCCTAGACGACCTATAACGTCTCCGCTTCGGCCCGTCGCCCGACCTCCCCGACTGGCACAGCCAGCTCCGTCGTCGTGTTCAGATCTTTGATATGGACATGGATGAGATTAGCTCTGCTTTGTATGCATTGTATGTTGATGACTCTAGTGTGACTGGTTCCTATTACCCTGTGTTGCCTAGCGTAGGTGTGCCCAGTGTGCCTAGTTAAGGCTCCCCTGCTGCATCAGGCGTAGGATCCCCTGCCTTGTTTAACCTAGGTTCCTCCCTTGCTCCTCCGACCTCTGTCGCCGCTGCCGCGCTCTCCTTCACCTTGGACTCCAGGGCTTCCCGGTGTTTCTTTCGCGACTCCACGACGCTTACGCCATTTGCCGTTCATGCTGCAGTTGCTCTTGCAGACCTTTCCTCTGGTCCTGTAGTTGCCCGTAGCTCCACTACTCTCCCCTGTCTGGCGATTCCCTCAAGCTCCCTTACAGGCCTGCACATCCCCTCGTTCTCTAGGAACCTAGTTGGTGCCGGCTGCCTCCAGGACCTTGGCGTCACCACTACGTTCCCTGGGCATGAGCGGTACGTTGTCTGTAATGACGCCGCCACTGGTGCCCCCCTCACCACGTTCCCTCGGGACCCGGTTTCTGACCTGTTCACGCTGGACACTGCTTCCCCCCCGGTTGGGATGCCTCCCCAGATACTTGCGTCTTCCCAGGTTGCCGCGTCGTGCTCGTGTCGGTCGCTTACTCACGCATCACTTCTATGGCACCACCGTCTAGGTCACCTTGCCATAACTCGTCTCCATCACATGTCCCAGCACCGTCTTGTCCTAGGCCTCCCTGAGTCGTTCCCCATGCTCCCCTCCTCAACCGTGCCTCCGTGCACGCCCTATGTCGAGGGCCGGCTCCGCCGTGCCCCTCACTCCTCCTCGTTCCCCCCTACCTCCAAACCGCTGCAGACCCTGCACATGGACGTCTTGGGCCCCACCCCCATGCATGGGCCGCGTCACGAGCTCTACTTCTTAGTGCTTGTCGACGACTACACCCACTACACCACCGTCTTTCCCCTAGAGCGGAAGGCTGACGTGCCTGACGTTCTTCTCCCGTGGCTTGTCTCTGCGCGTGTTCACCAAGGTCTCCCTGTCTTGCATCTTCACTCCCACCGTGGTGGTGAGTTCGCCTCTAGCAGCCTTGGTCGCTTCTGTCATGCGGATGGCATCACCCAGACGTTCACCCTGCCAGACTCCCCGCAGCAGAATGGGGTCGCTGAGCGAAACATCGGTTTGGTCATGCAGGTGGCTCGTACCTCCCTGATCCATGCCGGTGCACCCCATTTTCTGTGGTCGTTCGCCGCACGCTACGCCGCTCACCAGCTTAACCTCTAGCCGCACCCTCAGCGGTCGCAAGTTTTGCGGACCCTCCTCTGGGCCGGGTCCCCTGGTGACGCGTGTGCGTTCCACGTCTTGGGATGCCTTGCACACGTTCGTGCCTCTGGCACGGACAAGCTCACTGCATGCACTGTCCCCTGTGTCTTCCTAGGTTTCTCCCTCGACTCGTTGGACTAGCAGTTCTACCACCCGCCTTCTCACAATCTCTTTCACTCTTGTGACGTCACTTTTGACGAGTCCATCTCCTTCTACCACCGCTTTCCCCACCGTGGTCCCCCGGTCACTCCCCCCCAGTTCCTGGTGCCCCTCCCTCCCCTGGTCAACCCTGTCCACCCACCTCCCCGCCCTGCCCCGTCCGGTGTGTCTCAAGTCACCCCCCTCACGTCGGTTGTCCCTGCTGAGGAGTCTGCTGACTCTCGTGGCTCGACAGAGTCCCTTCCCCCTCTTGTCCCTGCCCCGATCTCCCCTCTCCTCTCGCTGCCACTACTTTCCCCGCCGCAGCCGCCTCCGCCACTGCCACAGCAGCTGCAGCCGCTGTCGTCACCGCAGGAGGAGTTCATGCGTTATGAGGTGCTGGGGAGTGGGCTAGAGCTGGTTCTGGAGTGGGCTCTGGGGGTGCTGACGTGGGGCTTCTCAGAGGGAGCCATGTTGTCGCAGGAGTTTCTGGTGTTGGAGTCGAGCAGCAGTCGCAGCTGTCGCCGCCGGTGTTCGCTCTTCGCCTCCTTGGTTTCCCTTCCCCTAACCGCCCGTCGCTGCCTCCTCCGCTGCCGCTGCCTCCTCCTCTGTTGGTCCACGGCCCCGTGTTTCCTTCTCTGGACTCCTCTCTGGCTTGTTTCCCTCCCCGTTCTCCTCCTGTGTCTCCACCCCTCTCGCCTAACCCGACTCCTCCGGCTCACATCTAGTCTCGTCGTCCGTCTCGTGCTCGTCCTACCTCCCATGTTCCGCGTTCTCACCCTATTTTGCTGCGCTCTTATGCATCTAGTGCTTCACCTCTCTTCTCGTCCCCTCCTCCGTCGTCGCTTGATGTGGCCCCGCCTCCGTTTTCGGACTTCCTCCAAGCTGCACATCCCCTTGTTCCTCGTGGCCTTGCCTGTTACCAACACGTCCGTTCCTCTCTCGAGTCTGTCGACTCTTGTTGCTGCTGTAACTGACATTGCCGCTACCCACCGCCTGGACTACGCCACCGCTCTGGTCTCTGATCCTGCGTGCCCTCCAACCGTCAGGGGTGTGGCTACTCTTCGCAGTGATGTCCTAGAGGACAGGTAGTTTGAGCTCGCTTTCCTGTCTGAGGCCGCGACCCATCTCTGTTCCATGCTTCTAGTCCCTGAGGGTGACCCAGATGCCCTCGACATCCTGACCCCTCACACCTACGCTGAGGCCACCTCGGGACCCTGGGCCTCTCAGTGGATAGCTGCCATGGAGCAGGAGATGGTATCTTGGAGATTCACCAGTACCTTCGTCGACTCAGTTCCCCCACCTAGGGTGAATGCAGTCGATGGCCGGTGGCACTTCAAGGTGAAGCGCCCTCCTGGAGAGCCGCCTGTCTTCAAGGCGCGCTAGGTCGCTCGAGGCTTTAGTCAGTGTGAGGGGGTGGACTTCTTTCAGACCTTCGCCCTGACCCCCAAGATGACCAATCTTCAGGCGCTGCTACACGTAGCAGCACAGCATGACTACGAGCTTCACACCCTCGAATTCTCCATAGGTTTCCTCCAGGGCAGTCTACACGAGCAGGTCTACCTGCGCCGCCCCACGGGCTTCTCTGGTACCTTCCCCTCTAGCACCGAGTGGCTCCTTCGGTGCCCTGTCTACGGCTTGCGACAGGTGCCCCGTGAGTGGCACGACACGCTGCGTGCTACACTTGCTGAATTGCAGTTCTTCCTTTCGTCTGTAGACCCCTCGCCCTTTGTCCATTCCGGCCAGACTCCGTTCTACATCCTTGTCTACGTAGATGATCTGGTCTTTGCTACTGCAGAAAGAGACGCAATGGTTACTGTGAAGGCCGTGCTGCTGAGAAGACACACCTGACCTGACCTAGGAGAGTTGTGCCGCTACCTTGGCCTGCAGATCTCCAGGGACACAGTAACGTGCACCATCGCTCTCTCACACTCACACTTGGTGCGCTAGGTCCTTCAGAGGTTCGGCCTTCAGTTCTCTTCCACACAGCCCACCCCTCTGCCAGGAGACAGCAAACTCTATGCCCTCGTCCCTGAGGAAGGTGTAGAGCCTAGTGGTCCCTACGCAGATCTTGTGGGTTGCCTCATGTTCCTGATGACTTTCACTCGTCCATATCTCGCATACTGTCACAGGATCGAATGTGTCGAGGAAAAGTCGCACTATCGATCAGTACAAGGTGCTTTTATACTTCCAGAGTACATCAGGTAACCAGGTTTATCTTATCCTAAGGGAATAGACCCTTCTAGAAGATAGAATCACCCTGCGTATAGCCACGCGAGGCTATTGGCTTTAAGGGATTACGGCAGGATTACGCTAGATAGAGCACACCAATACATCCCAAGCCTGGTCGGTGATATAATGATAATAGCAGGATAAACCAAAGGTTAATGGAAAAGGAAGAATAGGAAACCAAACGAGATGCGGTAAAAAGAGAAATGAAAAGGGAAGGAAATAAGAAAAGGCCAAGTGGTGTAACGGGGTCGTACTCTCACACTTCCCCCCCTCAAAGCTGGGTGGTAGAAGTAACACCCTGCTTGACAAGGTAGTCATGCAGAGGACGACGGGCGTTACCCATGTCGGACTCAGGTACCCAGCTGTCCTCAGAAGGATCATAACCCTTCCAATGGATGAGAAGCTCCACGGTGTCATTCCGACGACGGCGGTGTGCGAGCATGGACTCGACCTCGTACTCGGGTTCATTCTGGACGAGGACGGGCGGTGGCGGCGGCGGTTGGCGTCCGACGAAAATTGTGTTCGGGTCCCGATAGGGCTTCAGAAGTTGGACGTGGAAAGCGTTGTGAATCTTCCAGGTAGTTGGCAGGCGTAAGCGGAAGGTAACAGGAGTGACCTGTGCTTCAACGAGAAAAGGCCCGCAGAAGCGAGGTCGAAGTTTAGATGGGAGATGGCTGATGTCCAGGTTGCGGGTGTCAAGGAGAACCTGGTCTCCCACGGAAATGGTGTGGTCGTTGCGATGGCGATCGGCTTGGCGCTTCTGTTGCTGTTGAATGTCGAGTAGGCGCTTGTGGGTCCGATCCCAAAGCTGGTGCATGGTTGTGATGAAATCATGTGCGGGTTGGACTGTAGCTGATGCTGTCGGTTTTTGTGGTGTGAGTGGGTGGCGTCCGTAGCAGAGGAAGAACGGCGTCTGTCCAGTAGCGGCATGTGTAGCATTGTTGTAAGCAAACTCGAGTACGGGCAGGTGCAAGTCCCATTTGGAGATGTCGTCCTTGCAGGCTGCTCGGAGGAGTTGCTCAACAATTTGGTTGAGGCGCTCGGTCTGTCCGTCTGTTTGCGGATGGTATGCGGATGACATGGTGAGTTTGGTGCCAAGCAGAGACATAAGTTCCTTCCAGAACTTGCTAGTGAACTTGGGGTCTCGGTCGGAGATGAGTGTAGTTGGGATGCCATGCTGTGAGATGATGTGACGAACGAAGAGCTGTGCTGTCTCCTCGGTGCGTGCCGTCGTGTGTGTCGGGATGAAGTGTCCCATTTTGGAGAACTTGTCAATGACGACAAGGATGGCGTCATGACCGCTGGAGGTAGGTGGTAACCCGGTGATGAAGTCCAGGCTAACCACTTGCCATGGTTGTTCTGGGACAGGAAGAGGCTGCAGTAGTCCCGCCTTTTTCTGCTTGCTGCTCTTCATCCGCTGACAGGTATCACACGAGGTGACGAATTTCTGGACTTCTTCTGCTAAGTGGGGCCAGTAGTAGTGCTTTGCGATACCGGTCAGCGTCTTGTTGCTACCGAAGTGTCCGGCGTAGAGGACGTCGTGGTACTCTTCGAGTAGTAACTGGCGCAAAGGAGGGTAATTGGGTACCCAGATTTTTGTGGATCCTTTCCGGTACGCGATGTCACTGTCCCACTGTAGCAGATGTCGCTTTTCTGCCAAGGGAATTTCGGGGTCGATGGCGTACCCGTGGGTGAAGAGTCCCTTGAGTAGTGGATTCATCCCTTCGACCTGAATCGCGGCAACGTGTGCAGGCCGGCTGAGAGCGTCTGCTTTGTTCTTGTGGCCGGGCTTGTACACGATGTCGTACTGGAAGTGTGTCTCGAGGAAGTCGATCCACCGGACCTGCCGCCTGGAAAGGTTGGGTTGTGTCTTCAAATATTTCAGGCTGCAGTGGTCGGTGTAGACGGTCGTTCTTCGTCCTTCGAGATAGCATCTCCACGCTTTGAAGGCGATGATGATAGCAAGAGCCTCTTTGTCGTGTATCGGGTAGTTGAGTTCTGCCCCGTGCAGTTTCTTGCTGAGGTAGGCAATTGGTTGCAGTCCATTCCCCTGGTCTTGCATTAAGACTGCACCCACGGCCTGATCACTGGCGTCTGCTTCAATGACGTAGTCACGTTCGGGATCTAGCAAGATGAGTACCGGTGCGGATGTCAGTGCTTGTTTCAGTTGCTCCACGGCTTCCTGGTGCTTCGTCTCCCATTTGTAGGGCGTGTTCTTCTTCAGCAGATTCGTGAGTGGTGCCGCGAGTGTCGCATACTGTGGCACAAACCTGTTGTAGTAATTAGCGAAGCCTAGGAACTGTTGCAACTCCTTCACGTTCTCGGGTGTCTTCCATGTACGTACGGCTTCGATTTTCTTGGGGTCGACGTGAACTCCTTGAGCGCTCACCAGGTGTCCTAGGAATTGGACCTTTTCAAGGGCGAATTCGCTCTTGGACAGTTTGACGTAGAATCGTTCTCGTCGAAGAATTTCGAAGACGCGTCGCAGGTGTTCGACGTGCTGCTTCATGTCGCGCGAGTAGATGAGGATGTCATCCAGGTACACCACCACGCATTCGTCCAGAAGTGGTCGTAGAATGTGGTTCATTTCGGCTTGGAACGTTGCCGGCGCGTTGGTGAGTCCGAACGGCATGACCAAATACTCGTACGAGCCGTACCGAGTTCGGAAAGCAGTTTTGTGGATAAAGTTATCCGCCATCCGTATCTGCCAGTATCCGGACCGCAGATCCAGTTTGGAAAATACCGTAGCTCCACGAAGCTGGTCAAGCAGGTCATCGATTCGCGGTATCGGGTATTTATTCTTGATGGTCTGCTTGTTAAGAGCTCGGTAGTCGATGCACATGCGCAGGCTTCCGTCCGGTTTCGGTGTGAAGAGTACTGGGGCACCGTACGGCGAAGTGGATGGTCGGATGAGTCCTTTGTCTAGGAGATACTCGATCTGTTTTTTCATGTCAGTCAGCTCCGTAGGGCTGAGCCGATATGGTGCTCGGAAGGTCGGTTTCGAACCCGGTTCCTCTACGATCTCGTGTTGATGCGTTCGGTATGGCGGTAGCTCATTCGGAAGATCGTCAGGAAGAATGTCTTGGAACTCCTTCAGTAATTCCTTGATTTTTTCTGGAGTTTCCGAGGCTTTCTCTCCGTCATTTTCCACCTCTGTTGCTATCGCCAGGAACCCGGTGTCGGTCCGCTTCACGTCCTTCTCGAATCGTGCGAGTGTCTCCACTGGGATATCTCCAGTATCGTCCCAGTTGGGTAGCTGTACTCTCCGTCCATTGTTGTAGATGCTTGCGGTGCGGTTCACCCAGTTGATGTCGGGGTTGAATTTTTTCAGGAAGTCTCGCCCGAAGATCAAGTCAAGTCCTTTGATGTTGGTGATGGGGAGTGCAGGTCTCCAGCGCAGTGGTCCAATTTGTAGATGTAGCACTGCTTCGCCGTGTACTGGTAACTTGCTGCCGTCCACCATCGTTGCAGAGAATCCTGAAGGCTTGTACTCTTCCCGAAGTCGGTCGATCATTGCCTTGTCGCAGACGGTGTGTGACGCTCCGCTGTCCACGAGTGCTTGGAGGCGTCGTCCTTTGCAGATGACCTCGAGCACGAGGGGCAGTCGTTGCTCGGAGTACCCAAAGATAGTTTCATTGATTGGGTCATAGGGTACATCCCAATATTCCGTACACACCCTTGTGTTGCTGTCTACTCCTGAGCTGGCAGCTGGCCGAGGCTGCTTGGAGAACGGCTCTTCTCCAGGGCCCGGAGTTTCTTTGATGACTGTGCGCGTCACTGATGCCGAAGAACTGGATGCATCCGTAGAAGGAGTTCGGGGTTTGTGCAGCTTCTTGTAGACCCCCAGCTTCCTCTTGAGCTGCTTCAGCTCCACCGACGTCTTCCCTGGGGAGCGGGTAGTCGTTGTGGGCTGGTGTCGGGAGAGGACGTTGACTCCGTGGAAAGGTCGGCTTCTTTCCACACTCCTTAATTTGGTCCCCAAGTTGTCCGGTACCGGTATAATCTCCACAGCTGTCTGCTTCTTTTGGAGTCCCTCCCGAATTTTCTCCAAGGCTCTAGCCCCTCGAACATCATAAGTTTTCATTAAAGCATCTTTATAAGATAACTTTAACGAATTCTTATAATTTCTTGGGTCTTCAAGGAGTTTCCCTGTCTCGGCAGAGTCTTTTTTCACGGAGTCGTATTTTTTCTCGGCGATTTTCCCTGGCGAAGACTGGTCGTGGGGTGGAGATTTTCCCCCATCATTACCTCCTTCTCGCGTCGAATCCGCTTCGTCGAAGTCGATTTTTCCGGAATCCCGCGGCCGTTTTCGGATCTTTTTATTTTCGCCAGCTAGATCCGCAATCACTGGCGACTCCCGTTTTTTGTCTTCTGATTGGCCGAAAGATTTCCGCCACTGTTGCGTGCCCGATACTCTGCGCGTGCGGCCTTCATTTTGTTGCAGTGGAAGATTCGGTGGCCCGGCACCCCGCAAAAATCACACGTGTAGTTGGTGTTTTTCGGACGTGGCCGCCCCTCGAATCTGTCGACTTCCATCGGGTCGGCGAACGTGGGGTGAGCCGAGCGGTCGCCCTGTCGCGTACTGCCGACGTGCGTCCGTCGTGTTCCGGCGTTGACCATGTCGAAGCGCTCCGCTGCCGAAACGACGTCACTGTAGCTCGCGTAGTTTGACGCTGCGACTTGTCGTTTGACTTCGGTCTTCAGCCCTGCGAGGTACGATTGCACTTTTTCCGCTTCGGTCAGGTCGGGAATTCGGTTATAAAATTCTTCCATCTGCTGCGTGTACTGCGCTACACTCCCGAACTGTCGGTGTCGATGAATTTTTTCGCGGGCAAGGAAACTCGAATTTATCGGTTCGAAGCGTTTCAGCAGGTCGGCGCGGAACTGCTGCCACGTGGCTTCACCGTGGATGAAAGTACTGTTGCCGCCAATCCACTCGAGTGCCGGCCCTCGCATCAGTGTCGCCGCGAGTCGTACGCGTTGACCGTCCCAGACTGGCGAGCTCCATCCGACGGCTGCGAAGTAGATCTCCATCCCGGCGATCCATCTGCGGGCGTCGGAGTTTCGATCGCTCGGATCGAACGGCTCAGGTGGGCGCGGTTTCGGAGCCTCGAGAAACTGCTGCGACTGCTGCATCGTCGCCGTTGTCGTCTCGTGCTGCGCTCCGGCGAGTCGAGTTACTCGCTCGAACTGGTTTCGCCACGCTTCGCGATCCGCTCGCATTTCCTCCTGAAGGGCTGCGATGCGCGCGAAGAGCTGCTGGGTAACCTCGGCGTTGTCGAAGGTTGCCATCCTGTTCAAAACACGCACGGAGGGGGTAATTCGAAAATCGCGGAGCTGGTGCTTACCAGAATCGGCGTCGAATTGGTCGCCCCCGGCGGTTTTTCGAGGCAGGATCCCCGCTGCTGCTGCTTAGCTGAGCGCGGCCGAGTGAGAAAAGCTCTGATACCAAGTGTCACAGGATCGAATGTGTCGAGGAAAGGTTGCACTATCGATCAGTACAAGGTGCTTTTATACTTCCAGAGTACATCAGGTAACCAGGTTTATCTTATCCTAAGGGAATAGACCCTTCTAGAAGATAGAATCACCCTGCGTATAGCCACGTGAGGCTATTGGCTTTAAGGGATTACGGCAGGATTACGCTAGATAGAGCACACCAATACATCCCAAGCCTGGTCGGTGATATAATGATAATAGCAGGATAAACCAAAGGTTAATGGAAAAGGAAGAATAGGAAACCAAATGAGATGCGGTAAAAAGAGAAATGAAAAGGGAAGGAAATAAGAAAAGGCCAAGTAGTGTAACGGGGTCGTACTCTCACACATACCCTCTCAGCATTCTGGCTCGCTTTGTGGCCCCAGACAGACACCGACCACAGCACTGGTCGGCAGCTCAGCCGGTTTTGCGTTATCTCGGAAGTACATCGGGCATGGGGCTAGTGCTAGGAGGACGGAGACCAGTGGTCCTTACTGGGCACACAGTCGCTTCTTGGGCAAACGACGCAAAGACTCTCAGGTCCTCAAAGGGCTACTCCTTTAGCTTTGGTGAGGGTGCCCTCTCGTGGAGGTCCACGCGTTCCTCGTCTGTTGCCCAGTCTAGCTGTGAGGTTGAGATCTACGTAGGTGCCATGGTGGCACACGAGCTCTGCTGGCTGACCTTCTTGCACACCGACTTACGTCGAAATCAGCGGCCTAGCTCTGCCCCGGTTCTGTACGCTGACAACAGAGCCATGATCCTCCTGTGTCAGGAGCCACGACTTGAGGGCAGAGCGAAGCACATCCAGCTACGGTAAATCCTCCTGCGCGAGCTGCAGCAGCATCGCCAGGCTCGTGTAGTACACTTGGCCTCAGATGCCAACACAGCTGATATCTTTAGTAAGGCGCTTACGCCTAAAGATCATCAGCGGCAATGTGTACAGCAAGGTCTCGTTCCTGTAGACTCTCGCTTGCTAGGACCTTGATTGTGTACAGACCTATATATATATTACCTTGACTGGCCTTGTGGCCTCTTCCGTGTGGCTGGACTAGTAATGCCACCCTGGTCTTGCTCTTGCCTTGTCTGTACTTGTTTGACTGGTCTTTAGACCCCTGCCTCAGAGGCTGGACTAGTAGTGCCACCCTGAGCTGTTTCTTTCTCATCGGGCACTGCCCCTATCCAGTCTAGGGGGTGTGTCAAACATATATTGTATGTTTTTGAAGACTATATAGGGTTGTGCCTGAGGGAGTACAGCCCATTAGATTATATTCCCTTGTATGCCTTGTTCTAGTCTATTTCTTTCACTTTGATCATTGGTAGGATTGGTAGGTTATCGAACTCGACTGTAGAGGGTACAATTCCCTCCTTGTATCCCTCTCTGTTTCTAGTCTTGCCCTTTTTCCTCTCGTAGATTTCTCCTAGCTAAACCCTCACGCCATTTCTATGGCTCCCTACCGTTCCTGCTAGCCTATCTTTCGTAACATGGTAACGAAGCAGGTTCCCCTTCCCTGGCCTGCTCCCGCCGCGCACTCCTTCTCTCCCTTTCGTGCTGCCATGGTGGCAATGTTGTGCTGCTATGGCGGCGTCGTCGTGCCGCGGCCGTCTCGACGCACAGCCGTGGCGTCGCGCTGTCGTGGCGTCGACGTCCAGCCGTGGCGGCATTGTCGACATCAAGCCGTGGCGGCGTAACGGCGCCGTCGACCTGCCGTCGCCGCCGCACTGTGGCGGCATCGTAAGGATGCCATTCCGGATAGGGGCAATGCCCCATGAGAGAGAAACAACTCAGGGTGGAACTACTAGTCCAACCTCTAAGGCAGGGGTCTAAAGACCAGTCAAACAAGTACAGATAAGGCAAGAGCTAGACTAGGGTGGCACTACTAGTCCACCCACTGGGAAGAGACCACAAGGCCAGTCAGGGTAATCTATTTATAAAGGTCTGTACACAATCAAGGTCCTAGAAAGTGAGAGCCTACAGGAACTAGACCAAGCTGCAAACAGTGCCGCTGATGATCTCTAGGCGCAAGCGCCTTAGTAAAGATATCAGCTGTGTTGGCACCGGAGGCCAGGTGTACTACGCGGGCCTGACAACG